GGGATTCGAACTTAACGGCCTACTCCCAGTTGGCTTGTTAGCTCAATTGGTAGAGCGCTGCACTAGTATTGCAGAGGTCAGTGGTTCGAATCCCGTACAGGCCTGATTTTTTTCAGGTCTGATCTTCGCTATTGCATAAATAGCGCTCTCTACTGCAAGGATCGTGCATCATACGTAAAATCTGTATAATTTCCTATGTTTAGGGTTGTAGCAAAGAAATTACGCTGCCAGTGGAAATTTTAAGGGAGGAGGCTCAAAGATGGTGAATGATTTTAAGCGTGTAACCTCAGAAGTGCCTGTTGTGCCTTACCAAGCAATTGCCAGCCAAAAATCCAGCTGGCAATCACCACTTTTCATCCCATGAATTGCGCCAGCAGCTGGCACTTAGTGACAACCCAATATGTTAAGACCAGCTTGTTTGTGTTTGCTTTGGGTACCAATGAAGATCAACTTATGCTACTACTGCTTCTAAATTCTGTTATTTCCACTGTGGATTAAAATACATTTAGCTGACCTCCCTTGTTATCAATGGTCAACATTCTTTGATATTTGGTTAATAGTGGTATCACTCTGTAATGAAAATGTATTTGTTAACTACTCACACTGAAACTAAATGTGGATTGGAGTGAATGGTGTGTCTCCTAGCAACACTTGTCAATTTGTGCATTTAAATTTATTGGCAATAGTAAAATAAGCCATGCATATGGTTGTTGGTCAGCAGAGCTGCTCAAGCTGTGCACTTCAGTAGATGGAATACTAATTGTTAATATATAGGAGCATGTACCAATCTTCTCTAAATGTATTGAGTACAGTACATGATTGTAAAGACAAGTTACTTCATAAATTAACTGTGAAAACCCTTACTTTCCTTAAAGCTCCTGTAGTGCTTAGGTATATGTACAACACAAAATAATAATAATAATATTATTATTATTATATATATTAATGAAAACTGTCTCTTGTGAGAATTGTCCAAGTTTGCTGGTTCTACATGTAAATGCTGCTTGTTATCTTAAATTTCTCACTGAATGGCTGGTGTTTGCTGCATAGATTAGAGTTAAAGAAACTATCATTTAACATTCCAAACTAAATGAATTTGTAAAATACTTAAAGTGCAAAAGAAATAAGTTATAAAATAAGATTGTTTTCATTTCTGCATATGATTGGCTTAACATCAGTATGCATATTCTCCATACTGTTCTCTCTACATTTCCTAAGGTGTTGACAAGGAGAATTTGTTTAACAATCAAGAGCTTCTTTGATTGGTGATCATTTCCTTTATTCAAATGACCTTACTGTTTGATTAAGGGGTAATATTGCTGGGAGAAATTACATGCTAGTCACTTGTAAGAGTCAAATGATGTTAGAATGTTAACTCTTGCTGTGGTGCTCCAAGTTGTACTGTTGGTGAGTTTAAGCGTTGGTCATGACAGTCATTTCCTGCACTGCTCAAACACACAGCTCAAAGGCCAAAATATCAGAAAATAATATTATTGGGATTAAATTCCATGCACATAAAACAGAATTGAGATTTTTCCCTCCTAACCCCCATTTGTAGCATTTTGTACAATCAAATATTGCACTGCTTGTTCCGATTTCTCTTTAAATTTGTTTGTTGGTGTTTTTGTATTTTTGTGAGGCATCAAGGTATTTTACAGGGAATTAAGGTATTACAAAATCATTTGATGCCTCTTAACAGTTGACTTTCCATATGTGAAAAGTACAGAAGGCCTCGAAACTACAAGAAGAATATTTCCATCCTGTTTTACGTCTAAGTTGCAGCAAAACCAGTTCATATAATAGTACTAATATTTGGGCCAGCTCTTTTGTTCTGCCATGCTCTTGGATCTTGTGAAATGAATCACACTCGCATTATTACATCCACAATTTACTGCAGTGGCATTCGACGATCATTTGTTCTTAAGCAAAGAGTCCATTCCATCATTGATAAACCTCTATCTTTATCAAGATCACAGTCAACCAGCAGCTTTTTGCCACATTTTCTTCCTCGTTTAATGTTTCCAAGAATTTTCTTCATGGTGGATGTGAGAAACTCACTTGACACAAGCAGTTTGTCCTTATTTTTGTCCAACCGGTTGAACTTCCAGATTAAAACTTGATTATCTGATAGGAAGGTCCCCAAATGTTGAAGGTTACCTGATCTTGCACTTCTGCGTTGGTTTCTTATTGATTCAACTGTACAGAGGCAAGAAGGATAAACACACTTATAATTATTAACTCATTAAAGAACTTACAGAAAGCAAACATCTCCAAAAGCCAAGGGAAAAAAAAAATGGCAAAATCTTATAGTCTGGGACTTCTTTTGGAATTTCTTGTCTTAGACTTACAATTTTTCTTTTTGTGACACACACAACAAGACAAACTGAATTTCAAATTCTATCTTTTCTCAATGACTGTGCTATATTTCATATTGATCTTCACTCCAACCAATTTAATTTCTCTTGCTTAGATGACTTATTATCTCTTTTGAAACACTGTCAATAACCCTCCAAGATGCTAGCTGTCAGGGTGTAAAGAGTAGAAATGAAATAAATCTTTAATAACCTGGATTATCTTCATTTTTTGGAGAGTCTTCTTCCACTTCTCTCCTGAACAGTCTCAGCATGTGTCTTCTGAATGACGTCCACAAATCTTGAGCACATTCTACATATAACAACAAACATCTTTCATTAGAATACATAAAGAAAGCAGATAAAAAAAAAAGCAAGATTGATCAGAACACAGTGATGGTACACAAGCCAAAAATAATGACAGAGGTATAAAGGCATGACATTCTTTGGTAGGGGTCATAATTTTTCCACACAAAAAGCCCTGTCAAATATTTCCAAAGATATTGCAATTCATTTTGACAAAACTTCATCTCCAGTGCACTCACTTCTTAAATCAGAGGTCATGGCAGAAGTAAGACCAGTGATACAGCTAACCCTCTTCTTGGATTGTTTCATGCTTAAAATTAACACTAAGTCTTTAACTCCCAAGATCTCTTTAGTAATTCTCATTAATGTCTGCCATACAATTCTTATAATGTTAGTTTGGAGAGTTTAGTATTGGATCAACTATTGACCCACTAATTGATATTTTTCTTTACTCTCGTCACTTGTCTGCTTCATATTGTTTTGATACCGTAAGGGGAAATTCTGCATGGTTACTGCTTGGGAGTTAAATGGTGAGCATCATTTAGAAAAAGTATCAATCAAATGTATCAGGCTGTAATACTGCAAGACGTTTGTTTAGCCTTAAGAATGGATGGTATGAGACCAACATTGTTGATTGGCAAGGAAGAGAAACATTCCTAATGGACAAGAGGTAGCAGGTGTACAATAGCTCTTTATAAGTACTGAGAGCCCACCTTTCTTTGCTAAGCCAGTTGAATTTTGTTGCTTTGACACTGAAAAAGAAGGAGAAACCAAATATATCATTAACAAAGGTTGAACTTCTCTCATTGCTTAGGAATCAAGCTTAAAATTATAATAAAGGTCTTTCTTAAAAATTATTGTGCAAACAGACTTGCAACAATTAACATGACAATAGAACAAATAAGAGAAAAAAAATATTAGTTACTATTAAAAAGACATCTATTAATAAAAACGGATTTAAAACGACTTGTCTGAACCTTAAGTAGAATATAATTATGCAACCTAGTTCTCAACTGCCGTGTTCTCTGGGGAGGTAAGAGATCACTCAACACAGTGTTGGTGGAAGAGATCCTTCGCCATAATTTCATATCTCTATTAGGGGAGGCAGCGTGGCCGAGTGGTCAGGGTGTCAGACTTGCAATCCCTCGATCTCGGGTTCGAGTCCTATCCTGACCACTCCCTGGATTTGTTTTCACGGTAGCTCCGAGTTTAAATCCTTGGCCATGGTTGTAGATAGCAAACTGGTTTGCCTCCGGCCAGTTGGGATTCTTAACAATGTTATGTTCAATTTGAATTATTTGTTTATAGCCCACAATGTAAACTACTGGGTTATCAGTAATTGAGTTGACTATTAAAGTTTATTTATTTATTTATTTATTTATTTATGATGAATGGCCAATATACTGTGCAGCTTTAAGCAGTAACCCAGCTTATAACACCTGGCAAAGAGCTTATCAATTCTCCTTAAATATTTACTACAAAAAGCATATCCCCAGACCTCAAAAGCATAATTATGTAAATACTGAAAGGATCACACTTTGAAAAAGTAAGTCCAAATTCTCAACAGAGTAGCCATAATATTTACATATTCTTAAAATATCTTCCAAATCCACCACATCAATGTTGCTGATGTAACTTATCTATACACCCTAACATCAGCATCCACTTTATTCATACTCTTCTTTACACATTTCCTTTGGTACTGACACAGAGAAATTTGTTTAACAATCAAAGCTTCTCAACTTGATGATTGATTCCTTTATTCTCGTGATCTCAAAGAATGGTTCAGTAGCATTACTGTGGCGAGGAATTGGATGCTAGTCAGTCTTAAGGGTTAGAGCAACTTACTGTACTTCCAGCAGTCCAAGGATGTAGCTTTAGTTGTTGTGTTTGGTATTGGTTTGCCAGTGTCGATATCAACACACCAACAGTAACCAATGGAGTAGTGACATTGAGTTGGAGTGAATGAACCATCAGTGGCACAGCGCGGCAGGTATGGTTGGTTTTCACTGGATGAATGCTTACTTGCTTGTATTGCTGCGAGATATTCACCACTGCACTTCTTTATTTCTGTTGATTACGAAGATGCAAGTTACTTTAATTGTCATTGGTGTGGCGCGGATATGACGTCCTTAATCAGGCATGGGTAAGTTGAGGCATTTTAGATTATTTCCAATTATTACTTAATCAATATTAATACAGTATCAATTTATTGGAAAATTGAGGGGCAGGTGTCAGGGCCATCCCTTGTCTGCAAAATTTTCCAGATGTAAAAGTAGCAATCCTTGGCTGGATTTTTGGCCAGCGATTGCTCATGAAAAAGCTTAACAGGTGCCTCTAAGGTTATGCACTAACATCATTCAATGCTGAAGGCTATCTTTGGGCTGCCTCACTTGAAATTTCATTTTCTGATCAATCAATATTCTTCAGAAACAACTAAACCCTAACTTTAAATTTCAGTTTCATTTCTTTTTTTTTTTTTCTCCTGATGAAGGTTTGCATTACCTTTGACTCCAAAGCACATGTACCACTCATTGAGTGAAATTTTATGGTCTCTATCTCTGTCGCAGTATGCCATGAAAGTGCGGCTGCACTTTTTAGGGTGAATGGTCTTTTTTGTAACCTTAAGCAAAGCATGAAGCTCCTTCATCTCCAGCAGGTAATCAGCATTGGTGTCAAGATGTGTAAACTTCCAGAGTAAAAGATGAACTTTACCCATGCTTCTTGACTGACCTATAAAAATTAAAATTAAAAAATTAAAAATTAAAATTAAAATTGAAAATAGGGCCTCTGAAGGATCTTCCATAGTTTCTGCAGCTTGGTTTAAAATGGTGTGCCATGGTTTAAAATAGTGTGCCACGTGGGCCCCACTTTAAACCACCATGGGGAGTTGGGCTCCCTCTTTAAATATTATAATTATTATTATTATTATTATCATTATTACTATTATTATTATTATTATTATTATCATTATTATTTACACATTTTTAAAATATTACGGTTTTCTTATCAGCTATTTTTGTACAATCTTCATTGAAAGTGTCACAGTTACGTGATATACACGTAACTGATTCCTTCATTACCTTGAACTTGTCCAGAACTGGAAGCAGATCTTTGAACATAATCCATGAATTCCTTGGACAAGAACTTCACAAGCTTGTCATTAAAAGTAGTACGCACATTTCTTGAACAACCTGGAACACATCAAAATGAATTTTGGGTAAGTATACAGCTGTTTTGAGAAAGGTTGTCGGAAAAAAAAGTGCAAAAGTACACGCGACAACTCCAAAAGGTATCATGGTTAGTTGTCAGGTCACAGTTCCATGACTTCAGGATTTCAAGAAGTCTGAAAAAACCTCACTGTAAGGACAAAGCATCACTGGTTTGATCAATTTATTCATTTATTTGACTTGTTAAAGTTCATTGATTACCGGATACCATCATTACCTCTCGAGACTTTTGCATGCACATTTGTCCATTTTTCAGACAACCCTTCTTGAATTAGCTGTATGTGGTTGTGATTTCAGTAGATTCAATGTCTTCACATGTGGGAATTGATTTACTTCCTAACAACACATTTTACTGAATCCCTAAAGCCTGAATCCAATAACGACAGATCACTGTCGTTATTGTATACCTCACCTTTACAATCAATGCAAGGTTTTATTGCCTTCCAACCTTTCCCTGATGGTTTCTCTGATGGTTGACCTTGAGGAATAAGACATAATCAAGATCTCAGTCATGGTCTGAGAACAAACCTCTCCATGCATTCACTCTTTTAATCCCAAGAACGCACTAGCAATTCTCCTCCCTGTCTGCCATACAATTCTCTTGATATGAGTTTGGAGAATTTGGTATTGGATCCACTTGTAATTCCCTAATTGATATTTTCCTTTATCTCAACACTTGTCTGCTTGACATAGTGTTGATATTGTAAGGAGAAATTCTGTCTTGGTCACTGGGGGGATTCAAAGGGTTAAGGATCAGTCAGTCTTATTCTAGACCATCACACTTACCTTCTACTTTCCCTGACAAAACTTGTAGTAGTAGTAATAGTAATATAGTAATATAGTTTTATATCTGACCACTTGCAG